GGAGACAAAGTGCTTCGGGGGAGGTAGAAAAAGTTCCTTTACTGATCTTTTAGCTGTACAATTTCCTATTCATTCCCCATCTTTAGCTTTTCATAGTTACACCATATGATACTTGGTTTTCCAACAATCTCATTTCCTCTGAACATCGATGAAGGCCTTCCATGCTTACCTCTTTCACCTTACTATTGCAGGGGAGGCCAATATCCTGAAGCTAGGATTGTGTTGGATTTGATAAAGGGGCTTCTCCTGCGAGCTTATAGCCTATTATTTAGCTTTGGTCTTGCATGGTCTGGTACATGCATTCAGGTGATGGTCTTAGTATGAATTTTCTTTGCTTCCTGCTATTCATCTGGAAACCAACCACCCTGAATTTTATGCCTGTGAATGAGTCACAAATATTATGCTGGTGGCATTGTCTATATGTGCTTTGTTGATTTCAGCAATCCACATGAGAGTTATATTCAGTTGTATCCTTGTGCTGCTTGTGAGGAGTTTGAATGCTTCACCAACCTTATACAGAATATCGTTGCTCGGTGAGATGATATTTACCCAACCAACGTTTTTGCTATCTTTGAAGTGGAAACCATCTGTGGCTATGATGGCAGATGAAAACGGCTTTACACCACATCCTTTAAATATGTACTGATAGCTGTTGTTTTTATGCTTTACTCTCTACTCAAGTTTTATATTTTTTTATCTCGGCTGATTTCTACAGATCCCAGCGACATCAGATATTTATTCCACATGGAAAATTCTGAGATCTGGTGGTGAAATATTATCTCAGTGGTAACTGTATAGCACCTGTTCATCAAAGGTTGTCTTTTGGGGCACCTTTTAGGCAATCCTTGTTTTACTGCAGTAGCTCAAATTTTGAATGCATGATATTTATGCTGCAAGACTAGTGAATAATTTTGCTTGTAAGTAAAGTTGGTGTTCTTTAATGCTCTTAAAGCTTGTGAGTTATAATAGGGCTTTCATGGTTTCATGGGAGTGGCGGAAGTACATCTCGTGACAAGTCTTAAACATGTGTTTCCATCTTTTCAATCTTATCTTGTTCTCTAGTATTCGTACTCATCTTCGGTAAAGCAGAATTCAAGATGAAGCAGAAAAGACTTTTGTAGAGCAAAAGTAGATTGCAATGCATTGGTGCCTTTGGTATCTCTGGTTATCATGGTGTTACTCTGTTTGGTAAACTTGGGTTGTCTGTCAAAGGTCACAACCGGGTAGTTTTACTGTTTCTTTCAGAAGCAAAGGATGGTGATGGTTTGTCCTCATGAGTATGTCTGTTACTGGAAAATGCGGAACATGGCTGTGGTTTTGGCAGGATTGGTAACCATTTGTATGTGATTACATCATTTTCTCACCCTGATAAGGGACGATTACACTTTGCTTTAGATTTCAGCTTGCTACTGCCTCTACATTTCATCAAAATATCATCAGCAAAGGTTATTCAAGGCGGTTATTAGATCCGTGGTATAGAAGTTCAAGTGAATTTAGGAAGCTGCTCAGTAAGAGGAATGACTTTATATTCAACCAAATGTGTCCCAACAATTGGGGACAACTATTAGTTGGTGTGTTGTCCCAATACTTGTAGTATTACTGTGTGGTTTTTCATTGCACATGAACAAATCTATCACAAGGTGTGTGTGTTGTCCCAGTACTTTTAATAATATTATTACAAAAGTCAATAACTAAGGTATTTCTAAGTATTTAATTCATTCACGAATATACTTAACAATAATCTTTCGGTATATTTAAACAAGAAAGAAAATTCAAGCGATTAAGTTCTCTGTATATGGAAATTTATTTAGAAAGGTTATTTTCCCTCCTTAGAGTAAAATATAAAACTACTTTCCAAAATAAAAACAAAAACTAAGTTTAAACTACGTATTAGCTTCAGTAAACATTGTTTCATAGGATGATCATCTACTATGTATCGACAACAACTGTAAAAAAAAATATTGAAGAATAATGATGTTATAAGAAAGCAGAGATATTCATGTGTTTTATAAAATTTCTTATTATTATATTTGCTTTGGAAATTTTTTGAATTCAGTTACCATTAAGTACATCATATATATGCCAATCATTTATGTAAGTGGAATATGCATTTTCTACAACTGAAAACACAATATGTAAGCCACACTTAGATAAATAGATAGATGTGTACTTCTCAATGAAATCTCTTGCATTATCTGCACAAACATTGTCTGACCTCAAGCATAATTCTGAGGGAACAATTGTTCGCACACATGCCAGCGAATTGATAGGTATTTTCATCTCTTGTACTTTCTTTTTTACATAATAAGCATTTTTTGTTTGTTTATTGTTTTGTATTAGAAGTTTCGTTTATGATGGGAAAAAAGGGATGCATGCTTATAAATTAAGATGTACAATTAACCGACTTGTACGCTAGGGAACCAATGATTTTGAATACAAAAATATAATTTCAACGCTAAAAATATTAAGATAAATTATTTTACTTTGAATTACAAAACAGCAATTGGAAACTTTAGTTTTTCAGACCGAATAATTAAACTTACTGGTAATACAGAATCGCATGAAATTCTATGAATAAGAAAAAAAAATAGAAAGTCTAATGTAAGAGTTTCACACGACAATAACTTTTTAGTTTTTATCAACTTGCTTATGTGTTTATAGCAGCGTGTAATATATTTGTTCCATTCTGTTACCACAAAATTTGTTATTCTTATGAAATAGACGCAGTAGAGAAGTAAGATCTTTTCAACGAATTTTGTCAGTTTCTCGAGCCACCATTATCGATTAAATAAGTGAAATTACGTATTATCATTTCTGCCAAAAATATATCTTTAGCGCATACCATGCTTGTTATATATACTAACGATTTTTGTTTTCTGAGAATTATTTTGCCGTAACACTCTCAGTAAACAGGCATACTTTATATATATATTACAAAGGGCTTGTTTATTTGTCGTAGACTAAAGCCACATTGAGCTATTTACTGTGTCCACCGCGGGGAATCGAACCTCAGATTTTAGCGTTGTAACTCTATAGACTTACACCTTTCCCACCGGGGGACATTACAAAAAGATTATTTTAAGTGCCACTAGGATACAAGCAGTTCACGATTCCTAAGTTATTTTCCTTAGAAGTGAGCCAAGAACATCAGAAGTTTCCAGGAATAGTTTACGTCATACATATAAGTATTCTAGTATATACTGACTTGTGATGTTAAACAATGTGATATGTACATACACTTGTCGCAACAGCATTTCATGAATTACTCTGTGTTGCGAAACGTCATAGCAACGACTTCTAGATATGATGTTAAACGCTATCATACACATACACACAATAACATGTCACAACAGTACTCATGAATTTCCGTGTTGTGAAATGTTATAGCAACACGTACTTATTTCTCAGATTCAAGTTAGTCTCTAGTTTCAAAGAGCTATATTATTACAGATCAGATTTACACTTAAACTACATGCCTGACTGAACTGCATTTAATTTAAGAACTAAAGTGGCAATTTTACCGATACTTTCCTCTTTGTAATTCGATAAAACTTACTACGTAAATACATTTTGACCCGTGGGTTTAACACTGTAAAAATCAAATCATGTACGACCTAAAACATTTTACCAGAAATTAAGTGTCTTGTGGAAACTTCTCTCCAAAATACCTTTGTCTAATGTGAAAATGAATCTGTTGTGGGCAGAGCACAGATAGCCCATTGAGTAGCTTTGTGCTTCATTACAAACAATACTTTGATGTATTTTTGTTTTTATTGCTTCGTTGTAAAATCTTTTCGAGATAGTATATCAACGTTTCCCCTTTTTATAAATATGTAGGTGTAAAACATTAGAAAAATACTTGATAAAAGAACCATCTGGAAGTGAATTAGTCAATATTACTTGGTGGGTAGAATGATAAAAATATTGTGTGGTATTCTCTGAAACGCTGATATTTTACAGGAAAGTGTAATGCCGTAATAACTGGAGATACGGAAGAAAATGTATTCCAGAACTTAGCGGCATTTTTAATCTAACTGTGTTTTCAGAGATAACGTGAAACCCTCCTTAACATTTGTTTTTGGGATCGATCTGGCTGGCATTGAGTGTTTTTATCACAGAAATACAGTTGCACAGGCAGAATTAGCTGAGAACTTCCACAAAGATTTTTATCCCCCAAATTCCAATGCTCGGGCAACGTCAAAGACAACTATCTTAATCGTGTAGGTGACATCACTAAGACGTAATTAAAGATGGGCCTCTCTATCGATGTCTAGTCAACCACCATTTGCTAAAAATTTTAGCTGGAATGATTGTCTCATTCAGAGTGCCTAATACACTATATCAACCACGAACTCTAACTCACTCCCGTGTATTTTATTGGGACGTACCAAGTACCACCTGTACAAACTGATCTCACCACCAAATATTTGAGCACGGCAGAAACAGACATACCTTGCCTTCGATACTCCTGCTTAACAGCCAGGTGGAACTGTAGGTTTCACATTTTTATAGTGGATCCTGATATGGACAGTAGCCTACCAGCCCATAAAGAAGGTGCTTCAGTGCTCTTGTTTAGAAAGCCACCTCAGAAGAGGCATCGGAAGCACTTGTTGTGGCAAAACCGTCATGAGAGGCTATGAAAAGTCTTCCTCAACTACTGTTAGTCAGCATGGTTGTGTTGAAGTCCTCAGATGTGTTTGTAGCTGGATAACCTTCACAGGAACTTCTGGTGATGCAGGATGGTCTGGTCGAGATGCTGTGAGCTTCCTTCTCTCTTGCAGCTTACTCGAAGTTATAGCCTTGAACCTGGCCATCACAGAAAAATGACCTCTGACAATGGGCGAGTAGTGTAGAATAAAATTAAGAGATACAAAAGGCAATTTAACTGCATGTGTACGATATATATACAATTGTAGTGAATTAAATCTCTTCACTTTTCTGAGCTAAAAGAGAAATAAACATGGTATTTTTCCAAATACCACAGCTGTGTATCTAATAAATTGAAACTCCTTTTTTTTATATAGAATATGTATGTGGTCTGGTTGACTCAGATGCTCATATTACAATGAATCTTTTGAGTCAACCAGAACACATACAATATGCCACCTCTGGGAGGCACGCACACATTCAGTAGTTCCTCTACTCTTGTAATAAAATGAATTGGAGCAAATATAGAAAGACAGATGTCAGAAGCGTAAGGCAACAAAATGTCCGACGTGTTACTAGTGCAGCGTATGTGGATGCGATCAATACGGGGTACCAGTTGCAGAAAAAACAAGCCAGAGAAGAACTTCCGTTAATAAAACGGCCGAAGAGAAGTAAGTTTATCTATAGACAGGCCATGTTCTCAGAATTGTCGGAACACGTGGACAGCCATGGAGAGAGAGTTGAGAATGATTAATTTCATAGAGATAGAAAACCACTATACCATTATATTCACTGACAAAAAACCACAGCCACGACCCCTAAATCAATCCATACATATCCCTTTGTTTTATTCCAACTTTTCCGGATCGCTTTGTGGTACCTATCAGGACTTGTAAATGAGTCAGAAATTCCTTGTTAAATAAGCTATTATAATCTTACGCCTACGTAAGCATTTCTGTAAAGCTGAGATCATCAAATATGGTAGTTCTGTAAATTATTATTTTAAAAACTCCGATTTGTCTAGAAATAAATAAATATATATTCTAATTATAAAAGGTTACGTTTTAAGGTCTCAATACTGCTTGAAATACGTTATTTTATATATTTTTTCATTTTGGCGAGGTTCGTCATTTTTTTTCCTTGATGACAGGATATGCCAAGGCACCGTCGGTCAAACAGTGACCTGGATAACGAATTCGAAATTTCTGCATCTCCCTGGACAATGGATAGCGATTCTCCTCCACCAAAACAGGTATTTTATTTTTCTACATGAAGTAAACATAACATTGAATATAACGATTTTTAAAGATATGTTTATGAATATTATTTGTACTCAAAAATTTATTAATTCTTGTAATAATATGTTATGTGCCAACCATAATCTATTTGACTATTTTTATATATTATGGAAATTTTTACAATAAATCTTTTGTTTTTTACTTTGTAGAAATCAGATGAGAATGATTATTCTACATTTTTTATCTTATATAGCTAAAATTTACAGATATGAATTTTCAAAATTGTCCATTAAACTACAAATGAAAAAATATAACAGCATGATGTTTTTTACATAAATCACAAATGAAACTGTGAAAATCATTAAGTTTATTAAAATAAGTATCCATAGAACACAAATTAAATAATGCAAAATTAAAGCATCGTGTCAGTTACAAGTTATATCCGTTTATAATACAAATGAAACAATATAAAATTATCGTGTTTATTAAAAGAAATACCTCTTAGATAACAATGTTAAGTTGAAGTAGTTCAAGAAATATCTGCTTAGATAATAACTGAAACAATGTAAAAGTATCGTCTGCTCATTACAGATAATATATCTTAGAACACAACTGAAACAATTTTAAAATATCGTGTTTATTACAATAAATACCACTTAGGTGATACATAAGAATTACAAACAATTAGTATTTGCAACTAAATGATCAGTTTAACTTTATGTAATACAGTATTAAAGAATATACAAATGTAAAGCAAATAAGTTGAATAACGCATTATTATTTTATATTTTTTTCAAACAGGACAGAACACTTTGTTTTTATACTACAGTAAATATATCGTCGGAAAATTGTTAAGTATTGTTCCTAATGCCCTGTTATTATACCCAAAAATTGAGTAAAGTTATTTGGCTTCTTTAAAGCCTTATCAGTTTTCATAAAAGCCGGGAAAACCTCAGTACATTTCACATAAGAATAGTGCACTAGCAGAGCTATGATTATGGTGTTCAGTCTGCCTCCTTCTGTTCCAAAGCATCGTTTCACCACATTAGCTGCATGCTTGGGATCATTGTCTTGCTGGAAGATGAATTAGTTCATGGGCCAGATATAGTCACCGTGTACTCTCCATAACAGTACAAGACCGGTATTTTTTATTCCTTAGAGTTCATCCAACAATAAAAAAGATGTTAACAATAAATATCTTGGAATAAACTTCATGTTTGGATCCTGTTTTGATAGTAGAGGTCGTGTAGCTTGCGACAAGTTTTTGGTGCTCTAGAAAACCAGGGGTGTCATTACTTCTGGGCCTATTTTTCAATGTTGTGGGAATTATGACTGTGAATGATTAATATTACTTGAAAGAGGGAATATTTTCCTTCACAATAGTATATTATTGGTCTATTTACAATAAAGTATCACCAAAAAATAGCTACTAGATGTACATACTAAAATATCTCTCATGTCCGTTTGTTAAAATCACGACTTTAATTAATGAACATATAATGTTATTTTTTTAGTTAGCGAGAATTAACATTTGATTATAATAAATATTATAAATTCAAAGTAGGAACACGAATATTTTCATATTTTTGTAGCTATATCATGAGAATATATGAAAAGCGAAGGTATGATCATATATGACATTTCTTAATAAATGAAAAAGTGCACATTTCAACTTTTTAATAAAAAGAAATAACCAGTTGAACAAGAAAACAAAGCTAAGTATGAATGAAAGGTCTTGACTGTGTGACGGATTTGTTATTACATATTTATTTTAATATCAACATTTGTTTAGATTAACTTTATATTTGGAAACATACATAGCTTATACTATTAAATATGTATTGCGAAACTTCCGCCTATTCTCCAAAGTTGTAGAATATTCTCGAGAGTAAGAATCAACAATATATATATATGTGTGTACATAAACGATTGTATTAGCGTCATTATTGTTACGTAAAACTGAAAATTCGAGAAACTCTCCATACGCCTATAAATATAACCAAAGTGCGGCGCCAAAAGGAGTATCTATTATTAGTTTGCTATAGTCAGTGTGCTATAAACTGTGGAAGCTATAACTGTGATTGTTATAACGCTTATTAATCGGAAAACTTCAGATATTTAACCAGGAGCACTTTCAAAGTTCGAACATTACAAACTATTTAACTTCAGTGGATTCACATCGGACATTAGTATTTTTACGAAAACATTATATAACTTCAACGTGGAAAACTCGGCGTGTGTGGCTGGTGAATAACGAAGGACAAAGCTAGCTAGCTCCCTTTTAAGTGAATTATACCTACGTCAACTCGTAATTAACTTACTCATCGTGAACCCTCGATAAAATATCGAAGAAGTTCCAGACTAGAAAGAAGACTTTATATTGCTTGTAAGTTTGTGAAACATTTGTTTATAAATCATTGTTTGTAATAACTATTTGTAATAATTGTTTTTGTAAATTGTATTGTTATTTGTATATTCAAACATATTTGTGTTAAAAAAAAACTGTGTGTATCAATCTTGTTGGAAAATATCATAAACTGACTATATATCGGATTTTTACTTAACTGCTAAATCCAATTTAAAGTATCAGTTAACTCAGTTTCAGACCTTTCAAAATTGTAATACGTAACAACTGGAATATGTCATAATTTAACAAGAACGCATACAGATAATAATAACATAAAATGCAAATTAAATCACTATCTTGATTGAAATGTATCACTAATAATAACGGAAATACTATAAATTATCAGTATAGCATACATTTTATAGATCTGTCTCTGCTACATTTATACATAATATCAGAAAAGTCTTTAGTCTTCATCACAGTCCACATATCTGACAGCAAATTATCATCTGTCTCTATTAAGTTGCTGTGATCTTAGTCTTCGTCGAGAGAGCTTGGGTCGTTGCTTTCCCCGCTAACATCTTTCTTGGCGATTTATGTTCAAAGAATATGTCCTTCAAATCACAGAGGTTCCAGCTTTCCATTGACAACTAACCAACCATGCTCTTCTGTTGGCCTTGGTATATCTGGTTGATGGACATTGGCAGACTTCCAGATGCCAACCTGGTAATTAACCCGTCTAATATGCTGACGTAACAATTTCTTACATGGAGTTAGCTGTCTAATGTCGATGTTCCGGTTAAGACTTATACTGCCATCAGACCCTTCACATTCCTCCTTGACAGTAGCAAAACATCAACACTTTTCAAGCGTGGTTTATTATACATTGCACATGTCAACTCTTTCAAGCCTTTCTCTACATGATCTGGAACAATCCATAAACTTCCTAGTTTACCAAGAACTTCTTAGAAGGCAAGCATTGTCTGAAGGATTTTGATTGGTCGTACTTTACAATACCCTCGAAAGCACTTGTTGTATTACAATGCGTAAACACATGTAAAGCCATGAGAGCAGTACAAAACTCTTGACCACACCCCCGGGCAAGTTCTGTTATGTTGATGAGTCAGTTTATACTTCTAGTGTCTGTGTGAAACAGTATAGTTATCTCAAAGTGTGCCGAATGTCTTTTGATGCGCACAACTAAAAGCATTTGTCATTTCAGACCTGTATTGTTGAAAATGGCATAAAAGTTAGTATAGTATATACAAACTGAATATATACTCCTTGTAGGAACCAGAATTAAGAAAATGTTTAAAAGCATATGCAATATATGTTGATATTCATTTTGCATGGGAACTTAATGGTGATGAAGCCTGCAAAATTATTACTGGCACATGTAGCCACAGTACTACAAATATGGATTTGGAATTTACTTTAAAATTGGTGTATGTTTTGAGCAAAAAGGTGGATATTTATGATTTAAAAAATATAATTTCAACAAAAAATACATTTATGTTTTTTTTTCTTTTGGCATTTAACATTAATTCTCACTAACTAAAAAGTAACATTGTATGTTCATTGGTAAAAGTCGTGGTTTTAACACAAACCAGACATGAACGATATTTTAGTATATACTTGTAGAAGCTGCTTTGTGGTGATAATTTATCATGTACGGACCAATAATATATCAATTTGAAGGAAAATGTTCCCTCTTTCAAGTAATATTAATCATTTACACACCATTGAAAAATAGGCCCAGAAGCTATTACGCCCCTTGTTTTCTAGTGTGCCAAAAACTTGTCGCAGGTTACACAACCCCTCCTTTCAAAACAGGGTCTAAACACGTAGTTTATCACAAGGTGTTTACTGTTAACACATTTTTCTTATTGAATGGACTCTAAGGAACAAAACAATACCGGTCTTATATTGTTATCGGGAAGGAGGGGGGTGTACGATGACCATATCTAGCCCATAAACTAAATCATTGCTCATTAGGTCTTGTTCTTGGGGGAGTGACATGATGGATGCAAATCTTTTTGGCCTGTCAGCAGTCAGGTTGCTAATAGATTTTATGTAGATCTCCAACGCCATTGGCTGAGATTGAGCCCACACTTGTACTTATCCCCTAGCATGCCTCACTGCAGAATTTGTAGGTTGATTGTCGTACTACCCTCCTTTCTGCCATTGGACACACTATAATTTGTTGTTAACAAACAATTTGGATTCATGTGTAAAGAGCAGTCTTCCCCAGCTTTGCTCATCCCATTTTTTTTAAGTCTTATTCTTATTTCATTCTTTTTTCTTTTTTGGTATAGTTCAATTTTTATACAGCAGATGGTGTGAGATCTCATAATATTTTCCATTATATAGTCATTATTTTCACCGTTTCCATAATTAGTTCCAATACTGTACATATTAGCAAACTTCTAAATATAACTTTTGAATGGGTGATATGTCAGATGGTGTTGTTGTCATCAGGTTTGGCTATTTTCCAGTAGTGTTTTGCTGTGTGAGCATATTCCGTTAGAGAATATATATTCATTTTGAAATAAAAAGTATTGTTAAGATTCTTCGCTTTACTCTGACTTGTAAAATGTATTTCGTTTCAAAGATGTGCACGTCAGCAATACCATTACGGTAGAATAAACTAAGGGTTTTGAAGGTAGAACGGTCAGTGATTTTTTTCTGTACTGATTTTAATATCTTTAAAACAAAAGCTACAAAGACTGAGAAAAACAACTTTGCTAACATAAACATGTTATATAAGAGTTCATCTTACGAGTTAGTGTTTTAAAGTTTAAATAGTTCCGTTATTACAAAAACAAACAGCGTGTTTAAGCAAAACCAGAATAGATGTATTAAGTTTATAAAAGCAGAAATGTGCTAGTTATTACAGGAAAACGTATGTGAACTAATTTTATCAAATAAAAACTTGTTAGATCACAGTACAAATAATAACAGTAAACATAAGGCTTATTAACGAAAGACCTGTTTGATCACAACATGAAAATTAAGAGTAAGTACCAGGCTTACTAAAAGAAGTCCTATTAGATCATAACAGAAACAATAACAGTAAGCAAAAGGTTTATTAAAGGAAGTCCTGTTAGATATCAACAGAAGTATTAAGAATAAGCACCAGGCTTATTTAAGGAAGATTTGTTTGAACATAACAGAAATAATAACAGTAAGCATCAATCTTGCTAAAGGCAGCCCTGTTAGATCACATGAAAATTAAGAGTAAGCACACGGCTTACTAATGGAAGACCTGTTAGATCATAACAGAAACAATAAGAGTAAGCAAAAGACTTATTAAAGAAAGACTTGTTAGATATCAACAGAAGCATTAAGAGTAAACACCAGGCTTATAAAAAGAAGGCCTGTTTGTTTATGACGGAAATAATAATAGTAAGCACCAGGCTTATTAAAGAAAGACCTGTTAGATCATTACAGAAACAATAAGAGTTAGCAAAAGACTTGTTAGATATCAACAGAAGCATTAAGAGTAAACACCAGGCTTATAAAAAGAAGACCTGTTTGTTTATGACAGAAATAATAACAGTAAGCACCAGGCTTATAAAAAGAAGACCTGTTTGTTTATGACAGAAATAATAACAGTAAGCACCAGGCTTATTAAAGAAAGACCTGTTAGATCACAAGAGAAACAACGTAGGAGCAACAGATTTACAAATAAAAATGTTAAGTCACAACAAAAACAACGACGTAACAATTTTATTAAACTTATCTATTAATTCACAACATGAAACACGTGTAAAAAATATCAAATTTATCAAAGCAAAGCCCCTAAGAGAAGAGTAAAGTAGAATCGATGTTCAAGTACTAATCTTGATCTGTTAAATGGAACAAGACTGGTATAGAAGAGGCAAACCGTGTAAGATCCCTATCAAAGTGACGTAAACCTGTCTAATTCATTGCGCTTTAAATAAAAATCATGTACTCATTTCATACATTGAGAACCTATCATTGTTTTTGTTTTTTTCCTTTAGGTAGAGATAACACCAGAAACACTGGAAAAATATTTTGAGCTAGAGAAAGAAATCCAAAGCTATGAGAAAAGGCATGTGATGGAGAACTACCAAGTTAAAACAGAACAGTTAGAGAAACTCGAACAGAAAGTGACTCAGCTAGAAGAGTGTGAAAACCACCTTGAAGAACACGCGTACGGGTTTATTTTTTGTTGTTCATAATAAGCATGCGCATGTTTCTTTTGTTACTTGAAAGAGACTAACCACACGCTTTTAATCAAAAGTAGAAATTGAAAATTTTTTAATTGTTTTTAAGAAGTCATCTAACTCTCTTTTCTTTGGAATATTTGTTGTTCTAATCATAGGGTAAATGACACACAGCGATTTGTTGGTGAATATAAAGTTAATTGACATGATTATACGTATGTGGTAGAAAATATAAGTATATGTTAACTGACATTCAAAGGAAATTGCTGTAAATGGGTCTTTTTGTCTTGGTAAAAACTTTGATGAGTATTTATTTTATTCTGTGATTTAACTAAGAGTAGTTAATTTTCAACGAAACGTTTCAAAATGCGAGAAGAGTTTTATCTCTCTACGCCTCTTTTTCTGGATAAAAACAAAACAAACAGTAACTTAAATAAATGAATTTTCAAAGAAAAGTTTCAAAATGCCAGAAGAGTTTATCTTTATCTCTCTATGTCCCTTTTTCCGAATAAAATCTGGAATTTAAAGAAAAAGATATTCACATAAACAGTCTAAGTTGGTATATAATCAGAGTGTTGATTGTTTAAAAATGTAACGAAATCGTTATCTTGTTTTAAGATTCCAATAGTGACTTGATATACCTTTCAGTTTTGTTGGTACTAAAGTTCACTTTTGTGACCTCGCGACCTCTATCAATGTTTTTTTACTAGATAAATAAATGAAATTTTAGCTGATTATTACAGGATGGTACTTCAAGCTGTGGTGGATGCTGATAGTGACAATGATCAATCGGTTAAACAGTTTCTCATGGAGAAAACAGAGAGCGACCAAGAATTAACAGCTGAACAAGAGGCTTTTGTAGACACTCTCAACCGTCAGGTACATGATTTTTGTTATTTTCCTAAATTATCTTTCCCTAAAACCGCTATGGACGCCACAGATTTTGTAAGGAAGAATACGACTCTTCAAAAAGATGTTATAAATACGAGTCCACAGACACACATTATAGTTTGTTAACAATATATATATATATATATATATATTGCACTTAGTTAATTCCTTCACATATGCAAGCCCCTCAGTGGCACAGCGGTATGTCTGCGGATTTGTACTGCAAGAAACTGGGTTTCGATACCCGTGGTGGACAGAGTACAGATAGCCCTTTGTGTTTAATAACAAATAAAAACAACACACATGCAGTATATATATATAGATATATATATGTGCGTGTTTTCTAAGATATTAAACGATATGTTACATCTTTTTCTCAAGCAGAAATTTTCTTAAGTTTCTTAAAAATTGCTTTAATAAAGGGACTGCTAAAACGTACTTTACAATTTGTCTACATTATTTGTCTTGTATTGTAAGTTCTGATTATATTTTAATTGTTTTGTGCACAATATTTTGTGTCTGCCTCTCATAGTTTCATATTATAAGTTTGATAAATACACAGACGTCATTGAAAACACACAAGAATATCAATTTTGATCAGAATGAATAATATGAACATTTAAATTCCAATACCAATATAAGAACGTAAATATTTTGATGTAGTAGGTATTAAAATAAATAGTTAATTAACTGTACCAAATCATTTGTTTGGAATTTTTGAACATTTAAACTTAGAAGCTGATATGAAGGCTGATATAACTGATATAATTTTAAATACAATTAATAAACTATCTTTAATCTAAGCATGAGGTTATAATTTATCTTTGTTTTGCTGTACTTTTATTAGTTGTTATTAACATAGCTACATTGTGGGCTACTGGGGCTGTGCCCCAATCAGCCTACTAGGATTGAGTCATACAATTTGTGCAAATCCGATGAGATTTTTTTCTAGAGTGGGGTATGGTGGATTGAGGGAGAGGAAAAACGGTACCTTTTCTTTTCAAAATTATGTAAGTTCAGAGATTTATTACGTTTTTATAAGAGTTATGGGATCGGTATGCACTTGAAAGTTAATCAGATAAACATAAAATTATGCTTAACACTGTCAAAAAAGTCGAAAGTTTATAAATTAGATATAATTGTATGTTTGGCTCAGTGGGAAACTTTCCTGGCTATGCCAGTGTTAGTGGTATAATACTTATAGAAGAAATTTTCGGACCTTGAATAGGAGACGTAACTTTATTTGCATGACACTATAGATGTATCTTTGTAATACTTTTATCGGTGTTGTTATTTAATATCTTTTACTTTTATGATTTTAGGAAATCAATAAGACAGAACTGATTACTACAACCAAACAACGAGATGTCCTGAGAAAAGATGTTGAAACTTTGGCTGCTGAAGGAGACAAACTAAATAATCTTTATGAAGAACGTGACAAGTTTCTTGGTGAATTTCGTATATTTGTGACTTTATTATCTTTTATTTCATTTTAGCTTTATATCTGTATTTGTAAATTTTAAGTGATTATCTACTCCATTTCCAATCTTTTCAGTTTGAAGTTACTTAAGCCTTTAGACACCTTGTATGAGGACACCGTCTAATGATTTAATATAAGTCTTAAATAATATTCATCATGAGGTACCGTATTTCACTGAGGACACCGCCTAAGAATTTAAGATAAATCTTAAATACTAGTCACTATGAGGTACCTTATTTCATTGGAATATTTTCTTTGGAAAATCTAAAGAGCAAACTACGTTGTTTAGTTTTAGTTATTGCAACTCATATTTTGTTGTTGAAGATATTGCATTTTCCGGTGACAGGAAAACATCTTAATTTAGTATTTCTACATGTACCTCTAGAACCACTAGCTTAAACTATTGTGATTATCAACTGGACTTGATTACACAAAGACAGAGAATAAAATTAGTTCACCCCAATGTCAATGTTTTGAGTGTTGGTATCAAGTGGTATCCTTCGTACCATTAGCCTGTGAGTTTTATACGATAAGTTTTTGAATGTTATTTATCACGTAACGAGCTTCCTCTTTCAAGTGTTAAGGTTAAGTTCTTCTCTCAGTTAGATACTTTTTTGGAATCGCTTATAGTTAGTAGCTGAATCTTTCCATGGCATACCTTATTTAGGTAGTTAACAGTTGTATCTTGTGTTTCTTCGTTTACCAGATGGTATTTTTGGAGGTGAATATGGCAGCGAGCTTGAATACACTCTAGAAAAGGAACTAGATATGTTAAAGGAACAAAAACAGCAGGTGGATCAAGCCTACTTTAAATGGAAACGAAGTAATGTGATGGCTAAACAGGCTACTAGTCAATTAGGAATGGGAGTCCAAAAATGGAAAGACCTGCCTGAGGTGGCTGTAAGGTATGATCGGCTGTTGTTTTTTTTATAAGTTGAAAGCTGTTTTTATTATTTTTAATGGCATTCCATTATCATTTTAACAGATTTTAGGGAATTATCTATGAGAGCTTTACACGTATTTTATGATATAAAATACTGTTGTAGCTTATATTTTTAATCTCGAAATTTGTATTGTTGTATAGCAGAAATGAAGTTTAACGTAATCTTATGACAATGGTTTTGGTGTCTGGAAATTTTTCCAAAGTTTAGAAAACAATCTGAGAGATGTACAAAATCGAGTTAGGCTACAGTTAGTGAGTGAATTATTGAGTTATACAGTTACTGAGCAACCAATGCATGAATCAGTCACTATGTTTGTCGTTGTCAGCCACTTATCCAGTTAGTTCATTACTGCAATTATTGAGTTTCTGTTCTAAAAAATAAATATTAGAACAAAATTAGCAAGTAAGTAGAACTTCTATTAGACGTTGTTTATTTGTGGGCTAACTATGCTGTGTTAACCGCGGGTATTGAAAGCCGGTGTTTAACGCTATTAAACCTCAGACTTTTCGCTGATTCACCAGGGAGGTGATGCCTGTCGGTGTACATCGTTTACACTCATCGTGTAATTTGAAGTTGAAAAAATAAAACGTTTTTGTTACTTTACGTAAATCGGCCTTTCTATTGTTGTTTTTCCCAAATAATCCAAAAGGACCAGCCCAACAACAGAATTCATACTCAACTTTAGACTGACAGCACCTACTCGAAAATTAATGGAAGTAATGAAACATTGGAAAGAATATCAAGAAGAAAGAGACAGAAAACTAAAATAAAACCAAGAAGCAAGAGACAAAAGTTAAAAACAGGCAGAAATTTTGGATAAAGAGACAGGAATTTAAGAAATAAATTACAAGAAGGATACGAACAAAAATTGATTTGATTGAAAACAAGGTCGAGGACTGTTGTTGTTGTGTTAGTGTAAAGATATAGAATAAACTATTTGCTCTCTATTCACTGTGCTGAAGTTAGCCCCGAATTTTAGTGTTGTAAGTCCCTAAACCTAGTGCTGACCCACCGAATAACAGGTCATGGAAGCTATAGAAAATGTACAGAAGTATTGTAAAATAATAACGTCGAAAAAATATTAAATACAAGAACGAAGTGAAAAGGGAAGTATAAAGGACATCAAAGAAATACGGAAGAATTACACCAATACTAAAAACTATGGGAGATACACGAAATGACATAACGACGAAATAAACTAGCTAAAGACTGAGTTGGCAAACGTGAGGATCAAACCAACCATATCATCAGATAAACGTACAACTATTAAGCGTTAATGGTCAACTTATCAAATATATGTGGATTGTTACATTTGAAGGAAGATTCGGAAGCAAAGATCAGGAGTAAAGTAAAGAGGAAAGACGTGACCTTAGCTGAAAATGTGGAAGTTATGATGCTTTAGTAGATGATACGTCTTTAATGAAAGCAGTTTAGTTGACTATGGAACCAGTTAAAGTCGTAAATAAACAACCAAGTATACCATTCAGATATTATGGGATTGTCAGTTCGAATAGTTTAGGAATATCAACTCTCTCTCTGATGGAGGTCTGGAAGATTTAAAACGATTAATATAACAGCTGTTAACTCAGAACAGAAGTAGTAATCCACAGGATAGAGGGTGTTTAAATTGGAACTTAAAAGCAAAAGCCTTTAGGAAATAAAAAAACTGCTCACAAAGGATTACAGAAAAATTAAATTGCTATAAATTGGTAAAACATGAACATTATATCCGAAACTGTGATGAATCAGCCGTTGATATAAATCAAGAAGACGATATCCGGAGGATGATAATTCTCCATCTGCCCCAAATTTGATAAGAAGTGCCTTATTTCAGGAAATCAGTCCACGATTAAATGGATTTATTGATTGGATACCTTTTAACGTGGTTCGGCTCTAAAGCTTCACTTGTTCGACCTGATCTGGTAAGAAAGCTGGAAAATTGTTTCCAGAGATGAATCAAGAAGATGGATTGATGCGAACACCAACTGGCCATAGAGTTCAGCAAGAGGAAAGCTAGAAATGATCTTTAAGGCCATTTACCTGAAGATAACTCCCCCAGTGATAAAATGGAAATAAATGATACAGGACAAGAGGTTTTTCCATCTTAGCACCTAGATCTCGGAAGAGAAAACCTCAAGGAAAAAATATATTAGTAAATGAACAGGTTGAGGACTATAAATAAAAAAAATGTATATTTTGTTTCATTAACCACATTTATGATGGAATTTTAAGTTTTATGTATTTTAGCTAATGATTTAGTAATTGTTGTGTTTAGCTTTATGAAAACAATTTTTTTAATTGTCAAGAGTTATATTATCACTAATAATTGAAGTTTAAGTTTCATGTTCATAAGTGTCTTGATGGAATAGGATTGTCAGAGGGATTTCACAATTAATGTCGCTTTTTTTAAATGAAAAAACCTGAACAACTTATATATCAAGACAAAACATTTATTAAATGAAATAATCTCCATTATTGT